TCTTGGGGAGTGGAGGGGGATGCGGGAAGAGACTTGACAAAAATTGTGCACCTATGGATGAGGACAGTGGGTGGGGAGTGAGGGAGGAGGGTGGGGTGGGAACTGGGTGGAGGGGAGTTATGGGGGTAAAAAAGAGGAACAAATGCAATAATCTGAACAATAAAGATTTAATTTAAAAAAAAAGAATCTAAGAAACCCATGACTTCCCCTCACCAAACTACAGGGGGCAATGTCCTTGCAAGAACCTCGCTTGAGAAGGTCGCTGAGGGCCCATGGAGCGGGGTGCACAGCCTCTCAGGGGAGCACCCAGAGGCAGCGTGTGTTCGCCCTCCCCTGCGGCACTCCTGCGGTCAGACAGGAGCACTCAGCCGGGGGCTGGAAGCGAAGGGGAGCTGCCCTGCGCCTGGGGAGCAGCTGGCCAAGCAGCAGAGCAGCCTGCAGAGGGTCTCCCAGTGACATACCCCGAGGAGCGCGGAGGTCCTCTCCAAGGCTTCCTTGTTCACCCGGATGCTGTGGCTTTCCATCACTGGGTCCCAAAGCAAAGCAAGAGCATCTGTGTCAATGACTCGTTCTGTGAGCCGTGGGGCAGGGAGCGAGCCGCATCCCTGAAGAGGGTAGTGCTGCCAGCGCGGCCGCCAGCACACTCCGCCAAGTGTCCCTTAGGGCTAGCAGTGGTGGCCGTGGGTGTGGGACACGCGCTGGATGGAAAGCTGCCCCGGCCGTCAGGGCGCTGGGGGGGCTCTGCTCTGCTCCCCAGCAGGGCCTGCGCAGAGGAGGGCCTGCCGCAGATCCCCGGGGCAGGGCATGTGGATATTTATAACATCATTCCCGGGCCACACAAAATTATCAACTTAAAAGTTAGCCTGCTCATTTGGTCAAACATTTACTAGTAATTACTGATCCTCGATGCCTTGGCAGGGCCAGACCAAATGACTCCATGGGCCTTCTACGGCCCGCGGGCCCAACGTTCCCCACCCCTGCTCTAGGGGGTTCTCATGCAGGGTTAAAGGACAGCACCCCAGGACCCCACAACTACTGACATGCAGGCTCCGCCCCATGAGGCTGCTCTCAGGAGCGAGGGACTCAGGAGGGCGGTGGTCCCTGGGCCAGGGCACCCAGATCCAGACAATACAAGACCCATAGGGCCGGACATCAGAACCGCCTGGTCCCTCTACACCAGAGGTGATGCGGTCCAAGCCCTCGTTACAGAAAGGGAAATAAAGGGCTGGCCACCTCGTCAGGGCCGTGTGATCCTTACCTGCCCGAAATAAGCTCAGAGAGAAAGAGTCGTCCCCAAACAATGTAAAGAACTTCCCTAGTGCACTTTCCCTAGAAAGGCGACTGCGCATCAGCTTCCGGTAGCTTACCTGCCAAAATGGGTATCAGAGGAAGCTCCAAGGTACAGAACAGCTGCCATAAACCATGAGCCTGTCTCACAGGAGGAAACGTTCCTGCTATGGAGGCGCGCCTCGCCCAGCGGCCTCCCGCCTCGCTGAGCACACCAGGCTCCTCCTCAGGAACGGGCTGCCTCCCACCCAGGAGCCCCCTCCCCCTCAGGTGCCCTACTGTACCGCCCAGACCTGCCGGGACAGTGAGAAACAGGAGAACACGCCCACTCCCCATCTCCCTTCATCTTTTTCATTTTTATGTGAGCTGGCATTCATGGACTTTTAGTCTTCCATGGCCACGTTCAGCGCTGCACTAGAAATGCTATAATAGCTGTTGACCCTCAGAGAACATTCAGGAACTTCAGGTCTCATCAGCTGGACTACCGTTTCCTGAGGGAAGGAGGGTAACATGGCCTCAGGACTCGGCGTCATGTGCTGCGTATCCCACACGGCGGGCACTGCTCCTGGCAGAGGACAGCAGTGGGCAGAGCGCCGCCCCAGAAGCTACAACACGCTTGCCTTCAGCTGAGAACAGAGGTCCATCGTAAGCCTGTGGAGGACCCTCAGGTTCGCACATACATTCTGATTCTGTAAAAGATCAAAAGAATGAAAAATTAGGCAACCTTGGCTGAAATGATCATCACAATCTAGGAAGTAACACAACCCACGGGAATGCTTGCTGGCAGCTGTCACACATCTGTGGCGTCACCCACCAATGACTCCAAGTAGACGGGTCCCAAGCTAAGGAACTTCCTATTGGGCCAATGCAAGCTTCTGGCCACCGGACACTTCCTCCTCAACCCAGTCTCCCCCTCGTCCCAGAGGCATGAGCCACAAGGAAGCCCAACATGTGAGGAGTATTGGGTGGCAGAGACAGGAGGACGCGGCCTGGCCTCGGGATCCCACACCTCCACCCGCCACGAGGGAGCAGCGGGAGCAGAGGAGCCATGCCGCCATCCACAGTCCCTGCCATTCTCACCTGGGTCCCACACACAGGGGCCCAGGAGGGGAACAGAGTCTGTGTTCAACTGACAAACAGGCTGGTGGGATGAGCCACAGCGCCCCCACCTGTCTAATTCTCCTTCCTGCCGCCTAGATGCTGGGTGGGTTGGCCTGGTCTCTCTGGTCTGGGCCCTGTGGTAGATGAGGCAGGACTGGGTTAGGACTGGGTGGGAGCACTAGGAGTGCTTCCATGACCACTTCTCAGCCACCGCCTGGCAGGTGGCCACACTGCTGCCCGCATGAGTGTCTACACGGCATGCTGACCAGGGCTCCCTCTCCAAGCAGTTCCCAACCCGAAGCTCCCCAGACCAGCTCCAGCTCCATGGGGGCCCAGCCCCCACACCTCCTCCTCCTCCTCCTCCTCCCCCTCCTCCTCCTTCTCCCACTCTTCCCTGGGACCCTGCTGCTCCCCTCCAGGAGCCGCTCCTCTCATGATTCCTGACTCCCCCCTCCCCCACTGAGCTGTCCCCGCCCCTGACCCTCCCTGAGCTGTCACAGCCCCTCAGAGCAGCTCCCCTCGCCCCACCTGCGAGCGGTGCAGGCTCCACAGTGGCCAGGGCTGGACAATAGGACAAGGCAGCTCCTGAGGGGCTGGTGCGGGTGAGGCCTGGGGGAGCTCTGGGTGGGACTGGAGGGTGCGGGCCACAGGCTGGGGGGCTGAGAGGACCAGCCCACAGCGGGTCAGGGAAAGGCAGGCCCTCTGGGCTGGCGCTCTGTTCCCGCAGCCACTCCCTCCCCAACTCATTCCTTATAGGAGAAGGGACCCAGACCCAAGGGTCCGAGATGCCCGCGGTGAACCGTGGCCTCCCTGACCCGGGCGAGGCATCTGCGCTGACCTTCCTGTGCCCCACTCGCCCTGGAAGAGGACTGAGCCGGGGTGGACAACGCTCAGTACTAGGATCTCAGCTCTGTCTGGGGCCCGCATGGGATCTGGGGAGACTGCTCATCTCATGCCCTCCCCGGCTCCACCGGCCAAACCTGTGACACAGTGACAGAAGGGACGCGTGACAGAGTGGGTTCACTGGCCCGGCTTGAGGCTCCGGCTCCCTGGGTCCTCGGAGCCACCTGGCTCCTGTCCCCAAGGCCCGAGTCTGCTTCCCTCAGGGATCTGTGAACGACCCCGCAGCCCTCTGAAGAATGCTTTAATTAGGGGACAGTGAGCCTCCATGAGACACAGGACGCAGGGCAGGAAGCGAGCATCCCCGGCTCCGGGTGGTAGACATGGCAGGCTCACACCACCACCTGCTCTGCTCCCCACGTTGCCACCTCAACATCAGTGCCCCCCCACCCCCCAAACCCTCAGCATGTTCTAGTCATGCTTTTGATAGGGGCAGAAATAGAATACTGGGGACCAGCTATAACTGTAAGAAATATTAATCATGCTCTGTTAACTGTGATTGTCTTGTTCTGATTAAAGAAGCACATTCTAACCTGGCCGGGGGGGTTGCACGTGGGACCTGGGAGCGCACCTGGAAATGCAGCCCACCCTCCCCACCTGGGAGCTGCCTGTTATCATGGAAACATTAACAACCTTGCAGAAGCCAGAATCGCCTGCCCTTTGCAGACCCCCAGGCACCTGTAAACTGCCCACGTGGCACACCCTTTTGCCTACTCCCCATGTAACCTTTGTCCTTCTACCCAATATAAGCAGCTGGCTTGTGGGAATGGGCAGAGCAGGTTTTTGTGCCTGACCTGCTGCTCCCCATGCGGCCGGCAGTTTTGGAATAAACACTCATATAGGATTCAACCCTGTCTCTGCTTTAATTGGCTCAAGTAGTGACAGCAGCCGGACCCGTGACTGTCCAGTTCCAGTTCCTCACTATTGGGTGCATCTCCAGAGGCGGCCGTGGACTGCGGAGTGGCCGCCCGGGCCCTCTGCCGCAGCTGCCGCCTCACCGGCGCTAAGAATGTATAAACAAGCAGCTCTGTTCCCGGAGCAGGCGACTCCCTGACACCAGAGTCCATTGGGAAGGTCACCCCGCGAATGGTTTTCCCAGGAACAGTTTCACGAAGGAGCAGAAATCGCCGTCCTTATTCATGTCTACCCGAAGCGCCAGGGCACAAAGCATCGGCCGCACAAGTCAAAGCGAACAGCAGCGACATTCTTTTTAGTGCTGGGCTATCTCTGAAGTCTGTAGAGTGAGTTTCTTTAGAAAAGTTAGGGCTGTATTGCCCTGGCACGTTTTTCTCAGTGGTTAGAGCATTGGCCTGTGGACTGAAAGGTTGCGGGTTCAATTCCCATTTAAGGGGCATCCGCTGCCTGTTGGCCCCCACCCTTGGTGGGGGAGTGTGCAGGAGGTAACCTGTTGATGTGTCTCTCTCACATCAATGTTTCTCTCTCCCCCTCCTCTTCCTTCTCTTTCACTCTCTAAAACATCAATGGGAAAAATATCCTCAGATGAGGATTAAAATTAGGGTTGTATTAAAGTAGATAAAATCTTATCTGAAACAACTCACCACAGTATTTCTTGAGGAATTCCCATACGTGCTGCTCACTTTAACCGTGATGGCGTTTCCGAAGGATTTCGCCACTAAATCCTCAAAAGAGGGTGCGGCCTCACGAGGATCTATAAGCCAAGCGGCAATCCTAGGGTCCAGCCCGACAAAGTCAGCCACTGAGGAGAGAAAGCTCGTTCAGCCATGACAGGACAGAGGCACTTACTTTTCTCTGCTTTTACACGTTTCTCACGGTTCAGATTAATGATCATCATTTTACCATCCCCTCAAGTTACAGGGCTAAGGACCGAGCGATGTTCTGTCAATACTAAGGAATTCTGAACCTTGGATAAGTGGCCTCCACAAACCCAGGTCCCACAAGGCCACTCTCATGGGATTTGATCCCAAATGCCCAGAGGCGTGGAGATTCCACAATAACTTGGATTTGGATCTCTCAAACGTTAAAAGAGATCCAAGTCAGAATCCTCAGCCACACTTCCTGCCTCCTTTCTCCCCTTTCCCGCCTGCTCCCAAGCTTCTCACTGCCCCAGGCACCCCGCAGCCTTCCTACTTGTCAACGTAACCCCTCTTTCCAAGCCTCCCCTCCTCCAGCCTCTGGCCTCTCGCCGGGCTGCCTTCCCAGGCCACCCTGGCCCCTGCATGGCATGGCATCGGGGTGTTCAGGAACCCAAGTATCCTGGGCAGCAGGCAGAGCGGTGAGGAGCTGCCTGAGCACACAGCTTCGCCTTCTGGGGAGGCGGGCACGGCGGGCAAGGACAAGATGCTGAGCACGCTGGGCATGTGCCCTCCCCGACACCCTGTGGCAGCTGGATGTGTGAAAAGAGCAGCGAGACCAGCCTGGGGGCCTGGGAGGTCATGTCCCCCAAGTGTGAGTTTCCTCTCTGAAAACCGGGGGCAGAGTCCTGTGTGTGTGTGCGAGACACAAGAAGGTGCTTTTTACAAAGCAAGAGCGGCACCTGCTACATGGGTACATTTTTGTACCAGAGTATTTCAGGCACAGAGGGGGTTACAGGGCTGGGGAGGTGATATATTAAGAAACAGATCTGAGCCCTAAAGGATTGCTTCTTAGGCTCCGTTAACAGCTTTAACTGTGCTATAGAAAAATAAGGGCTGGCCTTTAAGCAAGCTGAGTCTTGGGTCACGTCACACGGGGTGTGTCTTCTGGCATCAGCACACTGTGCTCGGCTAAGAGGCTGATATTCACCTAAGCAGCCAGCCCTGGCGTCTGTGTTGCCGCCTGGGAAGCCTCTCAGGCTGGAGGTCTGGAGCTCTGGGTGAGAAAGGCGGCAGTCACGCTGGCTGCCTGCCCCCGAGCCAGCTAGGCATGACTTTACCGCACAGTGGCTGGTAATGTAACTCACCCCCTAGGGCTTTTTCATTCTATTTGCCTTCTCAAAGCTCTATTATTCCAAAATTAAGGTTTCTTACCCACATGTCTTTTGGAAAATCCTTGGGGGAGTCTGAGAGTGCTGGAATGATGGGGTCTGGTCCCTATAAAGTAAATTGAAGCCTGCCAGGACAAACTCCACACGGGGGAGAAAATGCCAGGACTTGAAGAAGAAATGCCAACAAAACAGACTTTAAACAAACTAAGAAAATAATAAAATCTATGAAAAGTAAATAAATCAGAATTAGAAATACTTAGAAAGTAGGTGACTTAGAAAAACTGAACAAAAAAAATAAAAGAATTCAGGAAAGAGAAATACAAAATTTTTCAGAAATAAAAACTGGCATTACACAAAAGCAGATAAATGTAATAGATAATGCCTTAAGTTAAAAAAAATGGAAAAGAGGAATTTTTTAAATAAAAAAGAAATCAAGAGATTGGAAATAGATTCTAGATAAAGTGGTAAATATGAAAAGATAGACAAGAAGAGTTAACATATGAATAGGAGTTGAAACATCACAAGAAAGATGAACAACCACCAGGATGTAGCTCCTGATGGGACACACCACTACAGAGGTCAGGGTTAGAGTCAGGGTCAGGGTCGGGTCAAGCTCTGCGTTATGCAGCAGCCTTGCCCTCCAGAATCCAGCGAGAATCTGACCCAGCCTCTGGATCTAGCTGCCAATTTACAAGTAAGAGAGCCGAGAAGGGAGCATGTTAATTGGCAAGAAGGGGATGTAATTGCCAAGTCCAGACTGTGGGAAATCCCCAGGACAAGCAAGCTGGTTCCATCATCAACGACAAAATAACTTCAAGGATCTAAAACAGAGAAGAGAACATACAGAGTAGAAGAGACTTAAGAAATACATTGCACCTGTCCCAGGTATGGCTCCCAATTCAAACAAACTGTAAAAAACAAAGACAAGCAGACAGAAGGATTTAAGGACAACTGGAAAGTGCAAACACTGCCTGAACGTCCAATAATATTAGAAGATGATTGCTAATGTGGGGGCGATAACAGTGATGGCATCATCTCAGAAATGACAGCCTCGGATCTGGGTCACGTGCTGAACCAACCATTTCAGGCAATCTGCACCATGCTTGGGGTCACGGTGCAGTAACCCAGGGCAGGCGCAGGCAGTGTGGGCCGTGAGAGGAAACAAGGCGGGAGGCCTGGTGATTGTTGACGTGGGGGGCCTGCTGTTTCCACAGCGCCCCTGACCGGCGGTGTGGGTTTCCGCACCAGCTCCTCCAGCTCTCGGTGGCCACCTCCGCCCGGACACTGCGGAGTTGGTGCTGACCCCGCAGATTCAGGGCTCAGCCCCACGAGACTGTTCCTGCTTCAAGCGCCAATCCCGGGTCCCGAGGCTCCGGTCCTCCCCTCCGATCAGCCATAACTTACCGTGCTTCCAACTGCCATCATCACCCAGATACTGCAGCACGGTTCTCACAAAGTCCTTAGCATTGAAACAAATCACAGGGCAGGTACATTTCAGGATCTGAGACAGCACATTCCTAGAAGATGAAAAGACATTCACTGACTTAGACACTAATTAAGAACTTTTACCCTGAAAAAAATATTAGTACTGCTCCACTGACAGCTATCACGTACATAGTACTAGGTGCAGGCATTCTTCTAAGGGCTTTACGTACATTAACTCAAAAAGCCTGTGAGGTAGGTATGACCTCTTACCTGCGTTTTATAGGTGAGGAAGCTGAGACACAGACAGGTAAGGAATGAGCCAAGGGGACACAGCAGTTCAGGTGAAGCCCCATTACCCACAGACAAAGACCCAAATTCCCGAGCAGAGCACACACACTCTGGGCTCCTTACAGTGGGCCCAACAGGACTGCCCAGCCCGCGCCCCCAGCACCCCCCGCAAGCACTCTCCCCGCGGCTCACACGGAGTCCTCTGTCCTCCATCACCAGACTCTGCTGTGTCCCCTCACACTCGAGCCACTGCTCATGCTGTGCTCTTGCCTAAAATCCTCCTCCCACTTCTGCAAGCTGCTCACGCTGCTCCTGGAGGATCTGGCCAGCTTCCCTGCAGTGAGCCGCCCCTGTGCCCCTTCCCCGCTCCTGCCCACCCTCGGCTGCAGCGGGGACACAGCAGCTCGCCTGGAAACGCTCCCCCCATCACAACACGCTCCCGAACAGGCGGCTGCTAACAGCGCTGGTTTATCGAGCACTTTCCATGCACAGATGGCACGCTACACACTTGAGAGGGACTGCTGCACTGAAACCTCCCCACAGGCCCTCAGGCAGGCATACGACCACTTACAGATAAGGAAATGAGGCCCAGAGAGGGTAGGCCATTTTCCCAGCGTTACACATGTGGCAAATGGCCAAGCTGAGGTCTGGGACCGGTGTGGCTGTGCCCGGCCCAGGCTGCGGCCTCCCTTCGCGGTAACTGCGCATCAGCACGCAGTGAGGCCTTCAGAGAGGCTGAGGAGCCAGAAACCCGAGCTCACCAGCTCTGCACACTGCGCCAACGGGTAGCTGTTTTGCTTGGCTGGCCTGGCAGGCACTTTCAGGCTTTCTGCATTTTCTTTGCATTTCACCTGGATTTCTCTTCAAGAGGGAGGCCAGGATGGTAGGGAGGGCAAAGTGCCAACAGCTCAGGCCTGGCTCCGTGGGACTTGGGAGGAGTGCCCAGGAGGAGAGCGGGGAGAGGGGAGACGGTGCACAGGGAGCAGAGCTGGCCCAGGAGCTTCCTTTCCCGCTGATGCTCCCACACCCTGGGCCCTCGCCAGTCCTTGGAGGGGCAGCTACTGACTACAACAGCCCCACTGGTGAGATGCCGGCTCGCGGATTTCTATCCTAGAAGACAAACAACTAAAGGATACCCTGTAAGGCAAAGTGGCTAAAGCAGTGTGTTTCATAAGTCGGTTATATCAGTGGGTTATGTCACACCTGCAAACAAAAAGGCAGCTAGAACATGGAAAGGCCAGAGCTGAAGGTGAAAATGAAGGCTTGGATTGAAACCTCAGACTGATCTATGACCACCTCTCAGTCTGTTTCCTCATCTATAAGATGGAAATAACAAGCCCTAACACACACAGTTAATGTTAAGATTAAGAGAGAGCATGTATGTAAAAAGACCTTGCACGGGTATTTAATAAATGTTATTAAATTTGTATTATGCAAACATTTTTAAAAATTGATTTTATATCTCAAAGATGCTGTCAAAGACTTGGAATCATTCCACTGTATGGCATTTAAGGCAATGCTTTCATATAATTGTCCTGGACCTTACAAAAATGTAAACTCAATACTCATTCATTAATTAATAACATTGATTAAATATTTATTAGGCATATAGAATTAAAATGGCAATTAATAAGTATCTATTAATAATAACCTTAAATGTAAGTGGATTAAATAATCCAATCAAAAGACATAGGGTAGCTGAATGGATACAAAAACATGACCCAACTATATGCTGTCTACAAGAGACCCACCTCAGAACAAAAGACTCACACAGGAAATGAGAATGAAGAGATGGAAAAAAATTTTCCATGCAAATGGAAACGAAAAAAAAAGCTGGGGTGGCAATACTCATATCTGACTAAATAGACTTCAAAATGAAGGCCATCACAAGAGACAGTAAGGTCACTACATAATATTAAAGGGATCGATCCAACAAGAGGATATAACCCTGTAAACATATAGGCGCCCAATATAGGAGCACTTAAATATATAAAAACTTATGGAGGACCTTAAGAGAGAGAATGACAACAATAGTCATACTAGGGGACTTTAACGCCCCAGATCCAGAGGCATAGAAGTATGGAACAGACTAGAGTCTCAGCGTGAAGGCGGGGTCAGGGTGGGGATGGGGGGGGTGAGTGTGTGGGTGGATCTTCCCTGAGAACAACCGAAGAACATGTATGCACGTATACATGACCCACGGACACCAACGATGGGGTGGGCGGGCTATAAGGAAGAAAAAGGGGGCATATGTGAGACTTTCAACAAGAAAGATTTTTTTTAAAGCCCATGCTTTTATTATTTTTTTCCTGTTAATCTTCACCTGAGGATACTTCTTTCCATTGGTTTTTAGAGAGAGTAAAAGGGAGAGGGAGAGACAGAGAGAGAGAAACATTGATGTGAGAGAGACACATCGATTAGTTGCCTCCCACATGTGCTCTGACCAGGGCTGGGGATCGAGCCTGCAACCGAGGTACATGCCCTTGACTGGAATCGAACCCACAACCCTTCAGCCTGAAGGTTTATGCTCTAACCACTGAGCTGAACCAGCCAGGGCAAGAGCCCATGTTTTTAGAGCTGCATCCTGAGACGTGACGTAAATGACATGTCAGGTATTTTCCTTAATCCGGCCCCGTACTCCTCCCCTCTGTTTGGATAACTGGCCCGGGAGAATGGGATATGGGCGTCATATTATTCTCTCTACTTTTGCATTTTCATAATTTGCTTTCTTGGTTTAAAAAAACATAAAGGAACGAGGCGGCCAGTTGTGCAGCGATCTGGGGGAATGCTGCAGGAGGGGAGCAGAGCAGCAAGGAGGTGGGTACAGGGACAGCAGGGAGAGGGGATGAGGCCCAAGGCGGTGGAGCAGCTGCAGGCTCTTGGGGGACTCTGGCTTTTCCTCAGAGTGACCAGGAGCTGAGGGGGGTGTGGAGCGGGCGGGGGCGGGGCTGGTTTCGGTGTGGACAGGCCTCTCCGGGTGCTAAACAGACTGAAGACGGGGGAGGCGGGAGACCAGCTGGAAGCTCTCGCTGGGCCTGGGTCAGGAGGCAGGGCCTGCACCGCGGCCGCAGCAGGGGGAGAGGGGCAGAGCCAATGGGATTCACCGAGATTGGACGGAGAGACATTAAAGATGATGCCAAGACTGCCTGAGCCCACGGAGGGCTAATGCGGCCACGAGCCAGGAAGAGAGCGGCGGGGGGCAGGTTTCAGGGAGACAGGCGGTCAGTGCTGCACATGGCCAGGCCGAAGTGACTGCTAGACGCCCAATGGAGAGTGTCACGTAGGATACAAAACCCAGAATTCAGAAGAGGCCGTGCAAACACAGGGCTGTATCCGCACAGAGGCCTTCCACAGGACAGACCTGACTGACGGCCTTTCGAAAGGAAATTACGTAAAGGAAGGTTATGGTTTCTTGGGAGCAGAGTGCTGTCTCTGTCATTGTCCCATTCTCACCAAAAGTGACTGTCGTGTAAGTGCCTGACATTCGCTTTTGATCGCATGGTATCCATTTTCAAAGACCTCCATCATGAACAGACGTGCTGCCAGCCGTAAGCCACAGCTCCTAGCCAACCAGCCGCAAGGATCAGGCCACCCCCACCCACGAAGGTCCCTCGCGCAGAAAGCCCTGGGCAACCTAGATAACTGACCGCCTGAGTGACCCTGCTTTTCCCTTCCTGTGCCCTGACTCCCACTCTTAGGCGTCCATTAGCCAATAAAGAGTAAGCCCTCGAAACCCTAGGCACCCCCTCAGACGGGAAGCAAGGCAGAGCCCAGGTCCATGCTCTCTCCCTCACACACAGCCTCGCCGGGTGGCGCTGGGGCAGCCGTGCTCCCTGCAGGACCATGAATAATACATATTCTTCCTCACAGTTTCCTGCAGAAGGGCGTCCTGTGATCACAGCAAGAACCACAGGGGCCGGCCCAGCCTCCGCAGCGGGGCCCTGTGGGGAAATGTCTGTGGAGGCTCCCCCAGCCCGTCCCACAGGCTGCGGGGAGGGCCTCACATTCCTGGCAGAGCGCATCCCTGCCCCGAGGCTGGGACTCACAGCCACGAACTAAACTCACCGGGAGCCCAATGAGGCTGGTTAGAGTTAGATGGAGGGCCAGGCCGAGGCCCCACCGTCTCGCCCTGCGCCTCCTGGAACTCCTGGTCAGGGCAGCAGCTTCAGGGAGCTCCCTCGGGGCTGCTAACTGGCCTGAACTCAGAGGCCTGGGCACACAGGAAGGGCATGTGCCCACCCAAGGTGGAAGCCCCGGCCAGGCTGACACCACCAGGGAAGAAACCGGGAGGAGGGGCAGAGGCTCCAACCACAGCAGGATTCTCAGGACCGAGGAGGAGCACAGAAGCCCTCCTGTGGGAGCATTCTAGACACTGAGAGGGCAGTGCGCGCGGCACTGTCCTGCCCACTTCCTCAGAATGAAGCTTTGAAATGAGCAGCATCCTGGTGGCAGCAAGGACAGTCTGCTGTCCGAAGGAGTGACCACCTCACTTTCTGATACTGTCACCGAGCCAATGACCAGCGTGGCGAGGAGAAGCACCTGGGCCTGGGCAGTGACAGGGGTTTGGCCGGGCGTGATGGTTTCCTCACCAACTGCTCACTGAGATGTTGATTCAAGTCCTGAAGCAGGTCCCCGCGGACGCTCTTTGGGGCGGGGGACCACTGTAGGAGGTTTCTGTCTTTTAGATCCATTTTATTTTCCTGGGCCCATATGAAACGTCTAAAAGTTTAAACAATTACAGGGGAAGCTTGGGAAACTAAATTGGGATATATCAGGCAGGTACGTGGACTTCAGGAGAATGAGTAAGCTTTTCTCACCTGGCAAACTGATTATGTGCTTCTTGTTCTTGGCTCCAAACAGCAGACTGCACCGTTTCTATGTAGATGCACCGACCGCTGGGTCTGACTCCTGCCTCCAGAACACGGCCAGGGGCTGAGGCAGCCGGAGCACCACGGCGTTCTGCGTGGCTCTGTAGCAACATCACAATTCCTTTCACAGAGGAAACTAGAGCCTGTGAATAGACAATAAAATAAAGTTTCAATATTAAACATAGACAATATGTTTATTCAGAAAGATATGTCATATTTTCTCATTAAAAAGACAGAAAAGGGCCCTAACTGGTTTGGCTCAGTGGATAGAGCATCGGCCTGCGGACTCAAGGGTCCCCGGTTTGATCCAGTCAAGGGCATGTACCTTGGTTGCGGGCACATCCCCAGTAGGGGGTGTGCAGGAGGCAGCTGATCAATGTTTCTCTCTCATCGATGTTTCTAACTCTCTATCCCTCTCCTTTACTCTCTGTAAAAATCAATAAAATATTTTTTTAAAAAAGACAGAAAAGGCCTAAAGTTAAATTTGTCAGTGAACAGCTATTTAATAACAATCAAGGCCAGAAACCAGACCCATGATCTTACTCTCCAAATCTAGTCTCCTGCCTATTCACCATCAAAATAGAAGTCTTAGCCAGTGCTAAGGATACAACAGGAAAGAGAAATAAAAGACATATACATCAGAAAGGAAGAATTATACTGTCTCTATTTACAGATGATACAACTGTCTGCATAGAAAACCCAAAGGAATCTACAGAAAAATTTACCAAGGTTGCAGGATACAAGATCAAAACAATAAAACAATTGCATTCTGATACACTAACAATAACATGTTCATCTATAATAAGCTCAACAATAAAGATTAAAAAAATAAACATGTAAAACTGAACTTGTATAAAAATTATCGTTTTTAATAACTATTCTAAAAAATGAAATACTTAGGAATCATCATAATATGTACAAGATGTATATGCTGAAAGTCACAAAACACTGGTGAAAGAAATCAGAGAAGACCTAAGTAACTGAGAGACATGCCATGCTCAAGGATTGCAAAACCCAAAATAATAAGAATGTCATTCATGTCCCACCTGGAGTACCAAAAACTGAATGTCAATTTTCCCAAGTTAATCTGTAGAACCACGAAGATGAACAAACCCCAAGTACAAGAAACATGAAGAAAATTACATCCCTATGCTCATAGCAGCATTATTTACAATAGCCAAGATCTGGAAACAGCCCAAGTGCCCACCAGCAGATGAGTGGAAACAAAAGTTGTGGTATACTTAAAACCATGGACTACTATCTTCTATCTATATAAAACCCTAATATGCAAATCAACCAAACGGTGGAATGACCAGTCGCTATGACGTACACTGACCACTAGGGCGCAGACGCTCAATGCAGGAGCTGCCTCCAGCCACAGGCCCTGACCGGTGGTGGCGGGGGACAGGGCCGGCAAGCCGGCAGAGCCAGAACAGCCAAGGCAGGTGCATGCGGGGAGGCCCTCCCCCCGTTGCCCTGCTGGTCACCCGACAGAGGGAGGCAACTGGCAGCGGTGGCGAGGGGAGGGGCCAGCAAGCAGGCAGTGCTAGGCCAAGGTGGGTGTGAGTGGGAGCCCTGATCACCCCGCCAGTCAACCCACAGATTGGCCCTGATCGCCAGCCAGGCCTAGGGACCCTACCTGTGCACGAATTTCCTGCACCAGCCTCTAGTGCAGCAGTTCTCAACCTGTGGGTCATGACCCCTTTGGGGGTCGAATGACCCTTTCACAGGGGTCGCCTAAGACCATCGGAAAACACATATATAATTACATATTGTTTTTGTTGATTAATCACTATGCTTTAATTATGTTCAATTTGTAAAAATGAAAATATATCCTGCATATCAGATATTTACATTATGATTCATAACAGTAGCAAAATTACAGTTATGAAGTAGCAATGAAAATAATTTTATGGTTGAGGGTCGCCACAACATGAGGAACTGTATTAAAGGGTCGCGGAATTAGGAAGGTTGAGAACCACTGCTCTAGTGTGATTATAAAAAAGAAGGCACTCTTACTCTTTGCAATAGCATGGATAGACCTAGATAGTATTATGCTAAGTAAAATAAGTCAGTCAAAAAAAAAAAATAAATAAGTCAGTCAAAGAAAGACAAATACTGTATGATATCATTAATATGTGGAATCTGCCGAAACCGGTTTGGCTCAGTGGATAGAGCGTCGGCCTGTGGACTGAAAGGTCCCAGGTTCGATTCCGGTCAAGGGCATGTACCTGGGTTGCGGGCACAAAAATACCGGCAGGTCCCAGAGGGGAGGGGTGTGGGGGTGACTGGATAAAGAAGGTGAAGAGATTGGCTAAAGAGCATACATGCATCTCCCAAGGACATGGACAACAGTGTGGTGAAGGCCGAGGCAGGGGGAGGCGGGGCGGGTGTAGGTGGGAAAAGGGGTGAAATTCAGGGACCTCTACAATAGTTAAAAAACTTTTCATTTAAAAAAAATGAGCAAAAGATTTGAATGGACCATTTACCAAAGAAGATGTACAAATGTCCAATCAGCACATGAGAAGATGCTCAATGTCATCATATATTAGGGAAATGCCATTTAAAACCAAAATGAAACACCATGTCACATCCACTCAAATGACTAAAATAAAAAAAGACCACCTTAGCCAGTTTAGCTCAGTGGATAGAGTGTCAGCCTGTGGACTGAAGGTTCCTGGGTTCAATTCTGATCAATGATTCTCTTTCATCGTTGATGTTTCTCTCCCTCTCTCTCTCTCTCTCTCCCCTTTCCTCTCTAAAATCAATAAAAATATATTTTAAAAAACACTATGCATTATCAATAGCTTACCATTGGGGAGAAGTGAAAGCTTAAAATCTTATTTCTAGCTCTCCCATTAAAATCAGACACTAGAAACATGGGTTTCTCTTATGGTGCCAGAAAAACAAAACAAACAAAAGCCACACTGTTTACTAACCTGGTCAGCTCTTAGTTGGGTTGAACCATCCTTGTACATCAGAGTTACCACCAGGGATGCTGCCTGTCTGAGCATTTCCATCAGCTGGCTTTTCTCCAAATCATCCAAATGCCTGATGTCACAGAACTGGTTTCTGAGTGCCCCTGAGTTCCCGGAATTCAGGGCGGCTTCTACCTCCTCAGCATCTTCTTTCAATGCCGTATGTTTGCTTGTTTTCTCTGGTGAATTATGACATGTAATATGTTTTCTTTTAAGATTCATGTTTTCTTTATTTTCATTATTTAGATATTGTTTTAGGAAGTGTTTTCTTTTATGTTCCTTCTCCTGTAGAACGGAAGCCGCTTGGTTACACTGTGGAGTTGGACAGCTGCAAGGAGCCTGTGAGCTGATGTTCTGTCTTTGCTCAGTAAACAGCTGATCTGTGAGTCTGATACTGGAGGACTGAGAGAGTCTGAGGGAAGCACTTGATGTCTGGCTTGTGAAAGAATGAAGATCCTATGGAAAAGTGAAAGACATTTCATTAGCATACGGATCTGTACGACAGAGATCTATAAGGCGCATCTAAAGTGAAGTGGGAACACAGCTTCACATTATCTAGGTCCAGCTGTCTAGTGAATGACACAGCGTCTTCCAGAGCGGTCACCCTTTCAACCCAGGCAGGGCACATGTGTGAATCACGGGCGGGACCAGGCGGGAGCTCAAAAAGTCTGCACCCACAGCCTATGCAGGACTCATGCAAGTGACCAGAGAAGCCATGGATGGGAGTAAGTTCAGATGTGCAGAAGACTGAAGGTTAAAAATTCACAACTTCCGCCCTAACCGGTTTGGCTCAGTGGATAGAGCATCGGCCTACAGACTCAAGGGTCCCAGGTTTGATTCCGGTGAAGAGCATGTACCTTGGTTGCAGGCACATACCCAGCAGGGAGTGTGCAGGAGGCAGCTGATCAATGTTTCTCTCTCATCGATGTTTCTAACTCTCTATCCCTCTCCCTTCCTCTATGTAAAAAATCAATAAAATATATATATTTTTAAAATTTACAACTTCCAAGTAAAGGCCTTTATAGAGAAACTGAAACTGCCATAACTATTTGATATGTTAATCCATCTACTAAAAATTTATTTAAAATATGGCTCAGCAGCAAGACTCTGCCTCGATATAGCAGTATGTGATGTCCACTCAAAGAATCACAGACCAACCGAGGGGGAGGGAGGAATCTATGCCTATCCATTTCATTATGGGATTCATGTACAATAAAATGTTATTGCCGGGAGCCGGTCCAAGGTCACCTCTCCGAGAAAGGTTGTTTCCCCGGGTAGGGATTTTTCCCTGAAGTTAGGGAGGGAATAAAACCTCAACTGCCAGGCGGGTAATTAATCACTTTAACTACGAACAATCATGCTTAAGTACATAATCTTTACTCCCTGGAATGGAGATAAGAAACGCTGGCTGAGGAACCCGGCTACAGAACCTGGCGACTGAACATGGCTGGAGAACCTAACCCGAACCTGGCTGGAGAACCTAGCGAGAGAACATGGCCACAGAACCTGGCTGGAGATCCTAACCAGAACTTCGCTGGAGATCCTGACTAGAACTTGGCTAGAGATCCTGCCTAGGCTGCTGATCAACTGAACGCTGTCTCCGTGTCATTCATTCTTCGCCGACTCCGTCCACACCTTTGGGGACCCCTGGACCTGCTGGGGCTGGACCCCAGCATGTAATTTTAATGTTTATTTTTTAGGTTTTATGATATATTTATGCTGTTTTAAACAACTATATACTAATAGTACTTTTAAATAATTTTGAAAGAAAAGTTTTAACACTTGGTAATAGGATCACAGAAAATTTTAATATATACTCATTTGTATAGTAGAGAAGTATTTTTTTTTAATATATTTTATTGATTTTCTACAGAGAGGAAGTGAGAGATACAGAAAGTTAGAAACATCGATGAGAGAGAAACATTGATCAGCTGCCTCCTGCACATCCCCCACTGGGGATGTGCCCGCAACCCACGCACATGCCCCCGACCGGAATCGAACCCGGGACCCTTCAGTCCACAAGCCGACGCTCCACCCACTGAGCCAAACCGGTTTCGGCGTAGAGAAGTATTATGAAGTTTTTAAGAAGAGATTTTCAAGCTTAACATTATATTACATTATAAATCTGTGGAGGTGTATACAAAAAAAGGAGTGCAGCCCAGCTGGTGGGGCTCAGTGGCTGAACATCGACCCAGGAACCGAGAGGTCACCATTCAATTCCTGGTCAGGACTTGACCCCAGTGCGGGGTGTGCAGTAGCAGCCAATCTATGATGCTTCTTTCTCATTGATGTTTCTATCTCTCTATCCCTCTCCCTTCTTCTCTCTAAAAATCAATAGAAAAAATTTTTTTAAGAAAAAGGCATTTATGGAGAAAAGGAAAGTATAAAAATTCGGATTGTTGAAGAATGTCTTGCTGAAGTATTTTTTTTAAAGGGATGATTATGGGTGATAAGTTACCAGGGTATAGTAAGTATTTAGATTTTAGTGGATATATTCTAGACAATGACATACAGGTTTTAAAATGTCAATATTATCAATACACCAGAAATCATACCCTATGAAACTTAAAAAATTTGCGATGAACCTTTTAAATGTCAACTTAGAAATGGCAGAAGGTCCATGTCTTTTCAAAATTCTTTAGAGAGAAAGGACACAAAAATGTTTGAGGACCTCTGCCTCCGGGATCCAAGAAGCACAGTTTGAACACCGTGGAGAGAGCACTCCCACTCCCTGACTAACCCGTTTTCTGTCAAAGGCGTCTCTCCCTCTACTTCCGGGTAAATTATCACCCTGGCAACCCAGGAACAACCCAGGGACGGGTCCTATTTAACTACAGGGCGTTGAGATTACATCAAGTTGGCCTGGGATTTGAACACAGTAGTTGGCTTCACAGTTCATTCCCTTAACCTCTGTGCGGCCTCCACCTGTTCCATAGACGAGGCCTTTAGTGATATGGCCTCTTCTCTCTCTCTCCTCAAGCCCAAACCATGTAATGCCTACTGTGAATTTTATGCCCGTTCCTTTCTGAACTTCTCTTTATTTCCACTATCCAAAAGTTTCAAGCTCTCTTCCCTTAATCTGAAAAGCGTTCTCAGAGTCCTTCCCCAACTCTCTAATGGCTGACCATCTCCTAATCACACTTTAGATATCAACTCAGGTATAATTTTCATAATTAAAAGAAAGACATCCCAGACTTCTCTTCATACCACCCAGAAAAAGCCAACTGGAATAGCACAAAGCCTGGGTTAGATGTCTCTCCTGCTGTGTGGAACTGACTTCCCCTCGTGACACTTAACACACCTTGTCGTAGAAACCCTTCATACTTCTGTCTTCCTCTTCCCCTCATATGAATTAACCCAAAAGCTCCTGAAGAACCATATCCCCCACCCCCACTTTTAAAAACCATTGCATTGCCCGGCTGCAGTCCCCCAATGGTTGAGCAGGAAGTCACGGTCTGATTCCCAGTCAGGACACATGCCTGAGTGCAGGTTTGATCCCAGTGTGGAGCATGCAGGAGACAGCCGATCAATGGTTCTCCTTCATCACTGATGTTTCTATCTCTCTCTCTCCCTCTCCCTTCCTCTCTGAGATGAATAAAAATATGTTTAAAAACAAACCATTGTTTAAAAATATGTTTAAAAACATATAGTGCCTAGCAATATAGTAGACACTTAACAAATATTTGTTCCATAAGTGAAGGTTATCTGTTATAATTATTCACATTTGTAATGACTTACCATTTTTTCCAGTGCTTGATTCTTCCCATCTTCAGGTAGTACTGAATACTTAACACTGGGTTTGTTTACCACTTCTGCAGCTTTAAAAACACAAAAAAGAAACACGAGGCATTAACGAAACACTGAAATCTAAGTCACATAGTCAGTGAATATTGAAAATAGTCTCTACAGTTGTGCTACTTACTCATTATTTACTAACTTAAAACAACATAATAAAATTCACAATCAAAATGCCTAGTACCATGGTAAGGAACATTTTTATGCAAAGTATCTTCAAATTAACTGGAGGCAGATTCATGTAATCGTGAAATGTTTATTAAAATTACTACCTGGCATTTGTATTTGAATACTTGATTCTGAAAACCCTTGTAAGAAACCTAGTTAAGTATTAAAGGTTTGAGGAACTTCTTATACTGAATAGTATTGCAATGGAACAATGAGAGATTCAGTAAAACATCATTACTAGAAACTTCTGATTTAAATTTAGCTTTCTTTCATTTTAATAAGCCTGGGCTGATCAGTGTTAGAATGTGGACCCACCCCCAGGACACATGACTCAGGAGTCTGTGCTCATAACCACTGTGATGTACGTTGCCTCTGTGGCAATGATAGATAACGACCAAGAAATGCAAATGAAGGGAACACTTTCACTTACAAAAAAAAGTTATACTTAGGATAAGTTTATAAGAAAGGGACTAGGCACTCAATGATTAAAACTTAAAACCTTGCCCATGGCTCAGTGATTGAACATCGACCTATGAACCAGGAGGTCACGGTTCGATTCCCGGTCAGGGCACAAGCCCGGGTTGCGAGCTCGATCCCCAGGAGGGGACATGCAGGAAGCAGCCAACCAATGATTCTCTCTCATCATTGATGTTTCTATCTCTCTCCCCCTCTCCCTGCTTCTCTGAAATAAAAATATATTTTTGAAAAAGACCTTTTTAAAAAACACACCTTAAAATCTTATGAAATGGCATAAAACAAGATCTATACAAATGGGAAAACATAGCATTGGGATATATGTTTAATTCTTCCAAACACCAACTTAATGCAGAGTCAATCAGAGACCTTACAGGGCTCTTTTAATTGAAAAAATAATGAAATGTTAAATATCTGAAAATAGATAAGCGAAGTCACAAAAATGAAAGATTTGCCTTGCCAGATTACCAGAATACACTATAAAGCCACTATAATCAAATCCATATGGTATTTGAATAGGAATAGAAGAAAAGATCTCTAGAAAAAATCCAGAAACTGACCCCAAGACTAATGAGACTTTAATATACAACAAAGATGGTGTTTCAATTACGTAGCAAAGGACACATTAAGAAATAGGGGTGGGCCCTAACCGGTTTGGCTCATTGGATAGAGCGTCGGCCTGCGGACTCAATGGTCCCAGGTTCAATTCTGGTCAAGGGCATGTACCTGGGTTGCAGGCACATCCCCAGTAGAGAGTGTGCAGGAGGCAGCTGATCGATGTTTCTCTCTCATCGATGTTTCTCACTCTCTATCCCTCTCCATTCCTCTCTGTAAAAAATCAACAAAATATATTTTAAAAAAAAAAGAAATAGGGGTGGTACAAGCAGCACCACTTCGAAAAGAAAATAATACATTGGGAAAACTACTTGGGACAAAAACGACAAAGGATTAATACCTGCATTCTACAACAAGTCTTACACCTGGACGAAAAAGACAAACAACTTAAAAGAAAAAGGAGTGAAAGGTAGGAAAGGCAATACACAAAATAGCAAATCCCCCAAAGCAAACAAACAGGATATAATGCTCAAACTCATGAGCAGCCAGGAAAATGAAAACCAATATAATTGGAGATGGATGGGGATAGGTAGTTTCATGCATTGCTGGTAAAAATGTGGCTACAGTAAGTCCTCACTTAACATCATCAATCGGTTCTGCGACTTTAAGCCAGATGCTGTATAACAAAACCAACTGTACTACCAACTAATCGCAATAGACAAGAGTTAAATTCCTATGGCGCCACATCAAAGTGATGACAAAAAAATGTTATTTGAGGACCTGCTGTAGTTAGAATCTTTTTGGAAAGCAAACTGCCAACACTTATTAAAATAAAAAATATATGCAGCACCTTTAGGAGTTGGGGAGAAATGGACTGATCCCAAGAGAGCAACGATGGGCCTCTTGGGCCAATGACATGCTATTTCTTGCTTTTTGGGTGAAGGATACAGGGGTCTTCAGTTTGTGAAATTTTGAGCTATAACCCTAGGATAGATGAGGTGTGTGTGTTGGTGTGTGCGTGTGTGTAACCTCAATTTAAAAAACAGACAAAATATATAAATATATAAATCATCTAACCAAACAACCTCACTCCTGGCTGTTTCATAGAAATATATGCAACAGTAAATATTTTAAATCAAAATGTCTATGGCAGTATTGCTTTATGGCAAAGGACTGATGCCAGTCAGGAGGGAAGTCGATGAATAAATTATGTAACGCCCAACTCTGAAGCACATAGCCATTGAAAGAATGGCTTGAAGCAGTATCAGTTGACTTGGAGATGCAGAAATCAGTGAAAATGTGATCCCATTTTTAAAATAAGTGACCAAACCTCCCCATTTGTGCACACGTTACACGCATGCACTGCCCAGGTGTTGCCCCCAGTGGCCACGTAGGAGAGGAAAGTTTCTGTTCAGAAAGGCTCCTGGGAAGCCCTCTCAGCACCGACATCTGCAGGCGGTGAAGGTGCCGTCATTACACAGGGAGCTGACGTGGCCCTGCAGAGCTGTCCCCTGTTGGGTCTAGGGAGCTGGGCTCATCCTCAACACCCACCAGTCCCTGGATTGTTTGCTCCTGGGAAAGCCGTGTGGGAAAGTCCTTGGGCCAGTTTCTCTGCGGCTGAGGCGGCCAGCAGGAGGCGCTGTGTGAGAGCCTACCAGCAAGGACCCAGCCCTGGGCACCCCCGGCGCCCACCATAGTCCCACACTGCCTGCTGCGCACAGCCACTGGCTGCAGGTCATTCTGAGCAGCTTCTTCCGGATTCTGTGCCTCTTCCTGGGGGAACCTTTAGAAGGAAGGGCAGCGGCACTGCAGCTCGCCTCCAGGCTGCAAATGCCATTCGTCTCCCTCTTTTTTTTTTTTTTAATAATTTTTATTGATTTTTTACAGAGAGGGAGATAGAGAGCTAGTAACAGCAATGAGAGAGAAACATCGATCAGCTGTTTTCTGCACATCTCCTACTGGGGATGTGCCCGCAACCCAGGTACATGCCCTTAACTGGAATCGAACGTGGGACCCTTCAGTCCACAAGCTGACACTCTATCCACTGAGCCAAACCGGTTTTGGCACATCTCCCTCTTCCGCAACCATCCAAAGATCCCTCACCCTGGCTGAGCACTCTGGCGGCCTAGGTACCTTACTGAAGGAGTGACCAACCCCTCACCCGAGAGTGAGCCCATGGTCACCATGCCTTCCTCAGGCCAGGGCCGACGTGTGTGCTGTGAAATGTGGGTAGGGAACCGAGAGGTGGCCAATATCACCTTGGTGCCAAGTACATGCTTCCCTGCCCCCATCATATACTAGTAACAGCAGCCCTAACATGACCAGGTGGTCCATCAGATGGAGATGGCATTCCTTGCCTGCCAGGCTCTTCACATAAGGAACTTGGAATGACTGGGTAGCAGCTGGACCTTGGACTGGAGCGGTACCCTTCCTGTGCCACTGGTGGGCTGCCCCTCGGAGAGTCAGGACAACCTGTAGGACCCAGACCGTTGGAAAGCAGGGCCACTCCTACTTCCACCTTTTGGTTCCGACCCCGTAACTGTACACATGGGAGACAAGGGAGAGAGAAAACAGCCTTGACGCAGGGCAGAGCGAACTGAAATCAACGCCTGGCAGGGTTTGCTGTGACTGAAAATAAGCGTTTTAGGGTTATGGGATAGAAATAAAAATATAAATCGTTTATCCATATACTCTTGACTAGAGTGAATATAACCAAAATATATCTATTTTGTCACTTTGTTATCTGTCCTTAAAATTGCAAAGATTTCCATGAGATGATGGAAATAAACATTTCACATAGATGAATTGGATTCTGACAAATATCTACCTCTAGGGGCCTCAAACTCCTAATTTGCAATGTCTGTAGAAATATTTTTATTTTACTAGAAAACACCAAATTCACCTCTAAGCTCTCTCAAGTTAAGTTAAAAAGAACCTGGATAAATGTATGCTAGAAAACATTACTTGATCTCTATAGGTCCTTAGAAAAAACACAGGTGTATTCTAATAAATATGTTCTTAATCATATGTACAGCACCAGGTCGGCCCCAAATCACCCTGAAAACTCCTCCTCCCATTATTTACCAAAGACTTTCAGTAGCATTACTGAACAATAAGATGCCAATGAAAACTCAAGTCAGATGAACCTAATTCTGAATCTAGTTTAAAAGTGTATGAATTAGGGTAAAAAGCTGAACTACTCTTCACAAAAGACCCAGCAATACAATACAATGCAATGGCTTAAGGAACAAAGAGCAGGTTTATTTCTCAGGTCGAGGTGAGCAGCCTCAGCTGGCGGTGCAGCTGCTCATGAAGTCACTCTGGGACCCGCTCTGTCCAGCACGGAGTTCCACGACCCGCTAGGACACTGCTATGGTCTACAGGGCTGGGAAGGAGTCGTTTCAGGTTGCAACTGGAGGGAAGGCAAGAGGTGGCCAGCTAGGAAGCAAGCTGGATGTTCTCAGGCCTACCCTGGAAATGGCACACACGTACCACTGACAGGAACCTGCCACTTGGCCGCACCTGACCGTGAGAAGACAGCCATGCAGTCTGATCGTGTGCCGCAGAACGGAAGGACTCTGGTGTGGCAAACACATAGTCTTTCCCAAAAGGCTTTTGGAGCAATACAAAATGCCCGTGATTGAGACATGAGAAAAGGTTGCCATAAAACGTCAGGATAATGGTTACTGCTGAGCAAGGAGAGGGTATTAAGTCGTATTTTTAGTTTTTGCATCTTTTTTTCTTCCTCTCGGCAAAGGGTTTTAAAATAAGAGATCAATCTTGCACAAAGTTTATGCAGTCCAATCCTTACTGAATATGTATCTCAAGATACCTCAAGTAGTCTAGCAGATCAGAAAAGGAGACCCCAAAGTGACATATAATATTAATAATGTTCGCTTTTACTTTAGTGTTTGTAAACCAAATATTTGTAGCTTTTTAAAAAATATGTATTTTATTGATTTTTTTACAGAGAGGAAGAGAGAGGGATAGAGAGTTAGAAACATCGATGAGAGAGAAACATCAATCCGCTGCCTCCTGCACACCTCCTACTGGGGATGTGCCTGCAACCAAGGTACATGCCCTTGACCGTAATTGAACCTGGGACCCTTCATTCCGTAGGCCGACATTCTAACCCAGTGATGGTGAACTTTTTGAGCTCGGCGTGTCAGCATCTTGAAAAACCCTAACTTAACTCTGATGCCGTGTCACATATGGAAGTTTTTTGATATTTGCAACCACAGTAAAACAAAGACCTATATTTTTGATATTTATTTTATATATTTAAATGCCATTTAACGAAGAAAAATCAACCAAAAAAATGAGTTCGCATGTCACCTCTGACACACGTGTCATAAGTTCGCCATCACTGCTCTATCCACTGAGCCAAACTAGTTAGGGCTGTAGCTTATTCTCATTGATTTCTGAGTGCAAGTTTGGTATGTACTTGGTATGAAATGCGTTTTCAGAAGTTAAATGCTTTTAAGAGGCAAGAACAGCTCAGCATGTGACAAAGAACCCAAGAATCATTAGGTCTTACATCCAGCATCATTCATCAGTAACCCACAAGCAATCCAACTTTAATTCAAATTCCTATCCTATGTAATAAAAGCCTAATATGCCAAGTGTCCGGTCGTCTAGTCAACCAAAGTGTAATATGCTAATGATATGCTAAGGCAACTCAATTGCTCGCTATGATGTGCACTGACCACCAGGGGACTGGTAGGTTAGCTTGCTGCTGGGGTCCAGCTGATCAGGACTGAGCAAGATGAGCTGGACACTCCCTCGAGCCCTCCCACGGTCCCTCCCCAGCTGGCCAACCTCCTGCGTCCCTCCCCGGCCCCGATTGTGCACCGGTGGGGTCCCTCGGCCTAGCCTGCGCACTCTTGCAATCAGAGACCCCTCAGGGGATGTCAGAGAGCTGGTTTCAGCTCAGTCCTGCAGGCCAGACCGAGGGACCCCACTGGTGCACAAATTTGTGCATCGGGCCTCTGGTGAAATAATAAAACTGGTGAGACTTAGTGGCAGACAGACTCTAAGGTGGTTGGTCCCATGACCCATGCCTCCTAGTATTCATGCCCCTGTAAACTCCTTCCCCCAAGTGCAGATGCGACTTGCTGACTCACTTCTAAACAACAGAATAAAGGACAGGATATTTGTGATTATGCCACATAAAACTGTAATGTCAGTCTTGCTAGGGACACACTCTTGCTGGCTTTGAAAAAGCAAGCGTCTATATGATGAAAAGGTGCCTATGGTCACAATTACGTAAAAGGAACTGAATTCTGCCAAGAAGTGAATTCTGCCGTGTGAACTTGGAAGCGAATGCTTCATTTGAGCCTCAGATGAGACTCCAGGCCTGGCTGACACCTGCACCATAGCCTTGCAGATGCCTCCGCTAAGCTGTGCCCGGCTCCCAACCCACTGACACTGTGAGATATCAAATGTGTTGTTTTAGTTACTAAGTTTGCAGTGATGGTGTTACGTGACAACAGATAACAGAATCCTTGTGAAAACCCACTTTTTTCAAATCCAAAACACCTGACAAAAAATAAAAACTTATTTTTCTATTATCTGTCTTCTCAATAAATTTATAAAAACTAGGGATCTAACAGAGTGTTTTAAGACTATGACGAGAGAGTTTGTGAGCTGGGTGAAATTTTCCTCCAGAGACTCCCGTTGTAACTCCTACCAGAGGCATTTCCTGACCCGTTCCTGAAGGGGCACAATCCCACTTGTCAAGTGCACACTGCCCTTCAGGAAGCAAATCTACACAGAACAAAGGAGAAAGCTCTTCAATGATTAACTTTTTGTCTTTTGTTACTATTCCCACCACCAGCATCATCCCCCTAAAACACTAGGTATGTAGTCCACACCCAAAATCCTTACCAGTTACCTTATTCGTAACTTCTGTAAGACACACAAGCAACAGATGCCTGAATATAAATGGAGCGAAGTGTTAAGCGTGATTATATCTTAATTAAGAAACTGCATTTATAACTGTGTTTGCATTGTTTGTCAATACTCTCAATTATTTCATCTCAATATAATTACTCAATTATATCTCAGTCACTTATAACTTACTCTGGAGAAAAGAAACAAACAACCTATTGGCCCAGACTTACAAATTTAAAATAAAAACTATTTTGCTAGTGAAAAGTGTTCCAAACATTTCAGTCACATTTATGAGTGTGTCACAGCTTTTACTATTATACCACGTCATGAATATATATATACAAAGATTCACCAACCTTTGCCCCGTAAGAGTTTACATACTTCTATGTCAGTACCATATATATATATTATGTATATATATCTCGTCAAAAACACTTCTTGCCCTGGCAGGTTTGGTTCAGTGGTTGTTAGAACACTGGCCTGCAGACAGAGGGTCTCGGGTTTGATTCCTGGTCAAGGGCACGTACCTGGGTTGCAGGTTCGATCCCCAGTCCCCATCAGGGAACACGCAGGTGGCAACCAATTGATGTCTCTCTTATCAATGTTTCTCTCTCCCTCCCTCCCTCTTAAAAAATAAATCAATGGAAAAAATATCCTCGGGTGAGGATTCACAAAAAAACTTCGAAAACAAAAACAAAAAAACACTTCTCTTGTCCACCATATACAATAAGCAAATACAGTCATCCAGTATCATTAGGGGATGGGTTCCAGGACTCCCAGGGCTACCAAAATCCATGGATACTCAAATCCCTTACATAAAATGCCATAGTATTTACATATAACCTATACTGGCATAAAGACCACAGCAGGGTATGCCTACACATCATTTTATTTGGGAGGACTCAACATAGTACTGGGTGCATGTCAAACTCAAGTTTTGCTGCTTTCTGGAATTTTCTGGGTTTTTCATTTTTTGCTATTATTTCTATCTGCAGTTGGTTGAACTGCAGATATGGAGGGCTGGGTGTACTGTGTACGCGCTCAATGACTCCAGAGCTAAGGCTGAGGCACCGGCACTGTGGAGGAGCCCTTGTCTTTTGAAGTTACTTAGAGCTGATGAGATCTAAGGGAATGTCCGACAGCAGTGCCTGGGGCAAGGAAGCATTACGCTGAAAAACAAGGGCTACGGGAGCAGCAGCTCAGTCATCACTGAACACAAGTAAAGTGAGGCAAAGCTGGACTCCACTTGTTCGTAGGCAGGCGCTGCCCCACACAATTTACGTTTTATAGAATAATTTTTCTACATTTCATTTTCAAACTCTTAGTCTTAAGAATTAATAACACCAAAGTAACAAATGACAGAAAGGCTCATAAATATTACTCACTCTTTTCACTCTCTCTCCAATTCTTAGGCTCCACTAAATCACCTGAATGCATAGCAGACATAATCTTCTGAGCAACACTGGAAAGTGGCATCTGACAGAGATCAAAGCCTACAAATGCCTCATAATTTTCCATTTTCATAAAATCCTAAACATAAGATAAACATAATACCTATATATTAATTTTGAGCCTTCAAAATAAGAAACAAGAAATCTGAAATTTTTTATGTACTTTCATAAAAATTTTTATATTAAAAACCACAAGTAGTAGATATAAACTGTCCCTTTTACATATAGGATCGTAAGAACTAAGTAATGGTTAGAGGCTCATTTGGGGTATTATCTATGTATGTAAAAGCCTAATATGCAGTGTCCCCTCGGCAGTTCAACCTACTAAGTACGATCACCAGCAGCCGGCAGCCAGAGAAGGGAAGCCCGGACTGGCAGCCAGCAGGGACCCTACCTGTGCATGAATTTCAGGCACTGGGCCTCTAGTGATATATAAGTAACAAAGAACTTATTTTCTAGTTAACCAATTGTGAAGCAATTTACTCCAATACTTTCTAGTTTCAGTTATTATAGTCTTCAAATATACAAACCTAATAGCATAGTTATTTTTAACTGACTGGCATGATGACACACCACCTGACATCCTTTCACTCCCTCTGCTCAGCTATACTGGGCCCCTTGGGCTGAGAACATGAAGGTCTGGAAGCCACAGAACAAATCACCAAATAGCTGGTTGGTCATCTAACATATTTGACACTAATCTTAACAGAATTTACTTCATTAACCAGGAAACAGGTGACATACTTTTCCCTATTGCTGGAGAAAAGAAAATTTTTCATTATCTAGTCCAAGGTAGAATCGGGGAAAAATGTTTTTTAAGCATATTAAGATTTATTTCATAAATTTTAAATAATGTACACATACAATAATTGGCAAAACAGTTTTGTTCAATGCATTACAAAAATTATCAGGGCTCATCTGTCACCTATGCAACCCATTTTCTGATAGTTATGGTTGAAAATTCCATAAAGATCACATTAGAGGTTTTTAGATATCAAGAGGTCATTCTTAAGTAATATCTGTATCTTTCTATAAAACTCACATGGTATAGAAGAGAGGCCATGTATAAATCAGGCATTAAAGAAGCATTTGATGCAATAACTGATAAGCTACTTCAAATTATTTCATACCAACTCTTCTATTTGTTCAAATACTGTATACTTGTGTCCCGACTATTACAGTCCAACCTTTTTTTCACATCAAAGAAACTAATTAAAATAGCATTATGCACCTGTCCTGGTGGGTGTGGCTCAGTGGCAGCCTCGCCTGCACAAGGGGAGGGGGGAGCTCAGGTTTGATTCCTGGTCAAGGGCATGTACCTGGGTTGCAGGTTCAATCCCCACTGCCAGTAGCAGCGTGTGTGGGAGGCAACTAATCGATGTGTCTCTGTCACCTCATTTCTCCCTCTCTCCCCACCTCCCTCCCTTCCACTCTCTCTAGAATTAGTGGAAAAAATATCCTCACTCCTTGGGTGAGGATTGTTTTAAAAAAGTATTATGCATCCTTTGAGCAAGCACTTCTAAGGAATTTTGAAATTTCGTTGGAAAGTCATTCATGTGTAAGTCACACTGAAGTTAAAGCAGTGCTGAAATGTCTGGCAGAAATTCTGAGGCCCCAGGACCCAGTCTGTAAAATGAACAATGGGCCAAAGGAGACTTGACATTTGCTGTGGTCCAAGTAAGAACATTAAGTCTCAAAGTCTATAGTAGAAAATGATGACGGAATACAGAGTGGCAGAATTTTACTTTACAGTCAAATATAGACTTAGCTATCCCATATATTATTAAGCTTACAGCTTTAACAAAGCTGATTCAAAGTTCTACAAAATTTAAAAACATTTAACAGAATATTTCTATTTCTAAAAAAATTAATAAAGGAGAGCTACAACTCTATTAAAAAAACCAGAACCCTATACACACACTTTTTCCTTTACAATACATACATTTTCACTTAAAGGAAGAATTGTATGTCTTCTCTTTGGCGTATCTGAATTGTCAGCATCACTACGCTTGCACTTTCAGGTTATTAAGTAAAGTAAGGGTGACTTGCACACAAGCACTGTAACAGCTGATCCGATAAGCAAGACAGTTAAGTGACTAATAGGCAGGTAGCATACAGTGCAGACATGCTGAAAAAACAGGATAATTCACGTCCCAGACTAGACAGAACATGTGGGCATGAAATCTCATCACACTATTCAGAACAGCACACAATTTAAAACTTATGAACTGGCCTAACTGGCGTAGCTCAGTGGTTGAGCATTGACCTATGAACCAGGTCACGGTTCAATTCCTGGTCAGGGCACATGCCTGGGTTGTGGGCTTGAACCCTGGTGAGGGATGCAGGAGGTAGCTGATAAATGGTTCTCTCTCATCATTGATGTTTCTCTCTCATCATTGATGTTTCTCTCTCTCTCTCTCTACCTTCATCTCTCAAATCAATAAAAAAATGTGTATTTTTAAAAATAACAAAAGCGGCCGAAACCGGTTTGGCTCGGTGGCTAGAGCGTCGGCCCGTTGACTGAAGGGTCCCAGGTTCGATTCCGGTCAAGGGCATGTACCTTGGTTGCGGGCACATCCCCAATAGAGTGTGCAGGAGGCAGCTCATGTATGTTTCTAAACAAAAAAACTTATGAACTGTTTATTTCTGAAATTTTCCACATCTATTTGCAGACTATAGTTGACTGCAGGTAACTGAAACAGCAGAAAGCAAAACTGCAGATAAGGGGAAAGCTACTGTAATGTGTTTTTCTTGTAAGTACAAAGTTACCAGGACTAAGTGGCACCAAGCAAATATTCAAGTCATATTAAGCACTGACTCTGAACAAACATGTTATAGAAAGAAAAAAAAAAACTGATATAATACTTGAATTCATTAAATTAAATGTTCCATTGACCTCAAATTTAAATTCTTAGTGTTTATTAGCTATATTCTCCTCCTAATATGTAAAACATTAAAACACAGCATATGTAATAAAGATTCAGTATGTAGTAATTTTTAATCTTTGAGATCAGCAGCCTTAATCTTTGATTGGTTTTCTAAATTTTCCACGATCTCTTTCAGATAATCTTCATCTTTACAAAAATATACATATAATTCTCTTTCCATTTGATGCAGTTTATTAGATGCCAAAATTTTCCTTTTTGTCTTTACATCAGCAAGAATATCAGTGAGAAGATGATTTAGTTTATTCAGTTGAGACTCAACTTGATGAAACTGCTCCGTTAACTCCTAAAAGGAAAATTAAAATGCTTTTAATGCAAGAGCTCTATTTGCAACACCAGTTATAAATTTAAAATGCAATTTATATGGAAAAAATATAAATGATGTAATCATTCCCACCATTTTAACAGTAAATGACCCTCAATTAAAAATCCATAGGTTTAATATAAATTTTATGTAAGATCAATTGCAGCAACTCCTGACAGGCAATTTTAAGTGATTCAAAGCAAACTCTTACTCTCTGAAGAGTATGTTATGTAAAAACTGTTCTGCATACTCATACATTCAACAAATACTAGTCTCCTTGAATGCCTGCCATGTTCCAAGTACTGTTTTAACTCTATGGATTGTAAGAAAGAACACATCTCCTTCATGGAGCTTACATTCTGATTAATCAAACCTTGTTTTAACTTAATCTCTTTATTCTAGACATTAAGAGGAACTCAGAAAGCCTTGAAATAAAGGAATACCAATGAAAAAGAATTACCTCAACAAAAATCTCCATTTTTTCCTTTTTTTCAAATTGTTGTAGAAGATAAAACTACACGATACTCAACAATCCTTCTCACTTCCTAACATTAAAGCAGCTTATTACGACGTTTCCATGGCGTTCTAACCAAGTACATACTCCTATGAACTACAGCCAGTATTACCTACCAAAGAAGTTCTCAGAAAACCTGTAGCTCTACCTCCCTCGTAACCTTCCACAGGTTGTCAGCACGGTTATAACCCGTGGCACTTGTTATGAGTACAGATCCCTATACCTCGCTCCACACCAAATTACTCAAACTCTGGCCCGGCCCGTTTGGTCGGTAGTTAGAGTGTCAGCCCACAGATGAAGAACTGCAGGTTCAATTCCTGGTCAAGGGCACATACTTTGGTTGCAGGTACCTGGCCCCAGTTCGGGCAAGAGCGGAGGCAACCAAATGACGAGTCTCTCTCACGTCAAAGTTTCTCTCTCTCTCTCTTCTCCCCCCTCCTCCCTCTCTGTCACTCTCTCTCAAAATCAATGGAAAAAATATCCTCAGATGAGGATTAAAAAAAAAAAAGTGAATTACTCAAACTCTGCAACAGGACCAGGAAGCTACATTTCAATAGGCTCCCTGGTAATTCTAATGTACAAGTTCAAGAATGACAGCTTAACATGTCATAAATATCAGACAGCAATACTTAAACTACATTAAAAAAATCAAGTAGTACCTACATTAAGTGGTTTCCTTTTGAGGAAAAATTTGGTAAACCTTAATACAATGAGAAACAATCTCACCTTTAATTTCAATACTAAAGATCCTAATAACAATTGTTAAAAAAATACTCCAATAAATACTGAAAATGTTCAACTTCATTAACAATAAAAATGTAAGTTAAAATGGATGGCATTTTGTACCTCACTAGGCTAGGGAAAAATACTGAATCATGACACCCCAGTAAGATTTAATGAAATCATCCTATTTTAGGATACAGTTTCACATGTTAACATATCTGAAATTAACATGCATTTTATATTGAAGAGCACCATGTAATTGTTATTGACCAGACATATTCATAAGAAATGTTGTATCACCAACATTAAAAAAAAAAAATGTATTGTGGTAAGAACACTTAACAGGTCTCCCCTCTTAAGAGGACAGTACAGTACTGTAAATATAGGCACAATGTTAGACAGCAGACCTCTAGAACTTTTTCATCTTGCATGACTGAAACTTTATACCTGATTAACAACTCCCCATTTCCCCTTCCCCGGTTCTAACAACCATTATTCTATGCTTTGCTTCTATGGGTCTGATTAGTTTACATATCTCACGAGTGGAATCATGCATTTGTCTTGTGACTTAGCTTATTTCACGGAGCATAATTTCCTCAAGGTTCATCTATGTTGGCACACATTGCAGGACTTTAGGGCTGAGAAATATTCCATTGTATGTCTCTACCACATTTCCTTTATCCATTCTTCCACTGATAGACATTTAGGTTGTTTTCACACCTTGCCTGTTCTCAGTAGTGCTGCAATGGACATGTGAGTGCTAATATCTGTTTGGGATCCTGATTTCAATTCCTTAGTTTAAATGCCTAGAAGTGGGCTTGCTGGGTGACAGGGTAGTTCTACAGTTTGCTGAACCTCCAAAC